CAGAGTGCAGAAAAGCAAATCTTTATATTTAACTAGTTATTCAAAGGGTCATAGATTCTCTTTTCCCTTTCAGTGTCCATACATGCTTCAACACAAAAAGATGAAAATACAGTTTGTAATATAATTAGGCCTGAAGTTTAAAATATTTCAGGCTGCTATACCTTAAAGCTGGTATACTTTAGTGAGACTTGAGCTGAATTACTAAAGAAAAAGATTTTATTCCATATTCCAGGTGTTATTCTTAGATCACTACATCTGATACCTGTCAGCAAAAAGCAATGCAAAGCAACATTTACCTTCAGAAAAATAATTTTGATGTACCCACTAATGAAAGCTATAAAAATCCATATAAATGAATTTCAGCAACATGCAGAATACTATCCTATGGAAATCTATTATTCTGTGTGAAATATTACATAAATACAACTTCAGGAGTTGAAGGAGAATGTCATAATGTCATGTAAGTGGGAACCATACAGTATGTACCCTTTTGTGCTGCACCTTTTTTTTGGGGGGGGGGGCATGCCTGGCTATTTTCACTTACCATAGTGCTTTTGAGATTTATCAATGTTGTTGCACCTATCAGTAATTTACTCCTTTTTACTGTTGAGTATTCCATTATGTGGTGTACCACAATTTATTTACCCATTTATCAGCTGATGTGCATCTGGGTTGCTTCCAGTTTACAGCAATTGTAAATACAGGCTCCTTAAACATTCTCACATAGGTCTCACATAGATATATACTTTCATTTATCTTACATAAATACCCAGGAGTGGGATCCCTAGGTCATGTGATAAATGCATGTATAACTTTATAAGAAAAATGCCAAACTGTTTTCCAAAGCAGCTCACCGTTTTACAAACCAACCAGCAATGTGTCAGAGTTCAGCTGTTCCACATTTTCACATTTCACATTCACATTTCATATACTTGATATTGTCAGTTTTTAAAATTTTAGTTATTCTAATAAATGTGTAGTGATTCATTGTGGCCGTAATTTTAACTTCCTGATGACTAACCATGTTGAATAGCTTTTCATGTGTGTCTTTTTTTTGAGAAATGTCTATTCAGATCCTTTGCCCATTTTTAAATTGGATTGTCTTTTTATTATTGAGTTGTAAGACTTTAGATATCAATCGTTTATCAAGTACAGTAAGTCCCCTACATATGAACGAGTTCCATTCCGAGAGTGCGTTCATAAATCCAATTTGTTCGTAAGTCCAGCAAAGTTAGCCTAGGTACCTAACTAACACAACAGGCTATATAGTACTGTACTGTAATAGGTTTTTAATACTTTTCACACAAATAATACATAAAAAACAAATAAACACAGAAAATAAAGAAAACATTTTTAATCTTACAGTACAGTACCTTGAAAAGTACACAGTACCAGCTACATCACCACTGCTTTTACGTTTGCTTCTGGACATCCTGGGTTTGAAATAAAGATACTGTACTACTGTACTCTATACAGTACTGTAAAATACACAAAGCACAACCACTTGTAGAGGATGCATGCACGTGACAATGTACACCAGACCTCCTAACTAACTTACGTGATTGGACATGTGAACACACGTTCACACGTTTCAAAGTTTGCAACTTGAAGGTTCATATGTAAGGGACTTATTGTATAAGATTTGTTAATATTTTCTTCCATTCTGTGAGTCACCTTTTCACTGTCTGTAGAAAAAAAATTATTTATTTATTTATTTTTGGCTGCGTTGGGTGTTCGCTGCTGCACGCGGGCTTTCTCTAGTTGCAGCGAGCAGGGGCTACTCTTCGTTGCGGTGCACAGGCTTCTCATTGCAGTGGCTTCTCTTATGGAGCATGGGCTTCAGTAGTTGTGGCACACAGGCTTCAGTAGTTGTGGCTCACAGGCTCTACAGCGCAGGCTCAATAGTTGTGGCGCACAGGCTTAGGTGCTCTGCGGCATGTGGGATCTTCCCAGACCAGGGTGCGAACCCACGTCCCCCGCATTGGCAGGCAGATTCTTAACCACTGCGCCACCAGGGAAGTCCCTCTTTCCACTGTCTTGATAGTGTCCTTTGAAGCACAAAAGTTTTTAATTTTGATGATGCCCAATTTATTTATTTTTCTTTTCCTTCTTATACTTTAGGTTTATATCTAAGAAACACTGGTCTAATCCACAGTCATGAAGATTTACGCCTATGTTTTTTTCCTAAGAGTTTTACAATTTTACATTCTGAATTAATTTTGTATGTGGTGTGAAACAGAAGTCCAACTTCATTCTTTTGCATATGGCTATCCAGTTGTCTGAGCAATGTTCGTTGAAAAGATTATTTTTTCCCCTTTCACTTGTTTTGCAACCATATTCTCCCAGTCAGTGGTTTACCTGTTCATTTTCTTAGCAGTATCACCTGAAGAGAAAAAGTTTTGAATTTTGATAAAATCTAATCTATCTTAAAAAAAAAAAAAAAAGGTTTGTGCCATTTGCGTCCCATCTAAGAAATTCTTGCCTAACCAAAATCACAAATATTTTCTATGTCTTATTCTAGAAGTATTACTAGTTTTAGGTCTCACATTTAGGTCTATGATCCATTTTAAGTTGATTTTTGTATATACTGCAAAGTAAGGCTTGGGTACTGAATTACCTTGTCAACTTTGTTGAAAATCTACTGACTGCATATATAAGGATCTATTTCTGTTCCATTTATCTATATGTTTATTCTTTCACTTCATTATACTGCCTTGATCTTAAAATCCAATAGTGTTAGTCCTCCAACTTGGTTCTTACTTTCCAAAATTCTTTTGGTTATTCCAGACCCTTCACATTGCCTTATGAATTTTAGAATTAATAGTTACTTTATACAAAAAGCCTGCTTAGGTTCTGAGAAGACAGGGACTCCACAGATAAATTAATTTGGGGATTCCTGACATTTTAATACTGAATTATCTAATCCATCAACATTGAATATCTGTCTTTTTTTTAAAGGTCTTCTTTCATTTCTCTCAGTATATTAAATTGTTTTCAGTATACAGGCTTACACACATTTTGTCAAATCTATCCCTAAATTTTTCATGCTTTTGCTTCTACTGTAAGTGGTGCTATATTTGCTATAATGTCCATTTAAAATTGCTTACTGCTAATATATAGAAATAAACTGTTTTTTGTATGTTAATCTAGCTTGCGACCTCACTGATAAGTTCTTGAGGCTTTTTCTGTAGAATTTTGAGGATTTTCTATACAGAAAAATACAGTGTCTGAATAATTTTAAATTGTTCCTTTTTAATCTATATGATTTTTCTTTATTTTACACCTTACTGCACTGTCTAAAACTTCCAGGACAACACTGAATGAAGTAGTGGGAGAAGACATAGTTGCCTTTTCCCAATCTTAGGGGAAAAGCATTTAGTCATACACAGTTAAACACAATCTGAACTATAGGTTTTTTGTGGATTCTCTTTATCAGGGTATGAAAGTTTCCTCCAGTTCCTAGTTTGCTGAGAGATATCTGTAAACCAAGAATGGATACTGATTTTTTTTCAAAGGCTTTTTCTGCATCTACTAAGATGATATTATGGATTTTCTTTTTTAATATGTTAATGTGATAGATTACACTAATTGATTTTTGAACCTTAAACTAACTTTGCAATCCTGGTATAAACCCTACTTGGTCAAAATTTTTACCTAATGCTAGATATGATTTGCTAAAACTTTTAATATTATTCTCTGTACTTTTCTTCAATATGAAAAGTAGACTAAACCACACAGGTTTATCCATTTAAAACAGTTTTCTTTAGCTTTATACTTTCATTTTACTTATTTCTACTGTGGCTACTGATGTTTCTATGTACAAAATACAATGTAAAGGCAAACTTAGTATTATGAAAGCAGCAATGTTGCATAGCAAAAACAGTAACAGATTTTTAAAAGCATGTGTTCCAATTCTTGCTACCCTACTTCACAAAATTACACACCCCAACTTTGTACTAACAAGGATTCATCCTTTTGCCTCCCATCAAATAAGAAGGGGTAAAGTTTCTCCATCTTTTTAGTTCTTCTGCTGTATTGTTAAGTAGGAAGGTGAAGCAAATTAAACAGCAATAAAATCTTCCTGCAATTTCAGTAAGATGTGAGAAATTAAGAAAAATTTTTTAAAAGTTTACAATTCAGAATCTGGCACTATATCCTAAAATAAAATTAAGGCTGAAAAAATAATTTTATAAAGAAGAGAAAAACAGAAACCAAAAAAACTGATAAGTAAAATTCTGAGCCAAGATTTCAAAGTGTAGAAATGATAAAAGAAATTAAATCTAAAGTTAAAAAGATTTGACTATTTAGAAAAATAAAACTTTTCTAACAAAACATATGTAACCAAAATTGAAAGATAACACTAAAATCAACCCAACCTAAAAGTATCGATATGTACGGTTTAGGAACAGATAAAAAAAAATGGAGTGGGGAGGATTTTATAAAACAAAATCTTATTATCAATTATTTAAGATGAAAAGATTGAAACTACCTTAATAAGTTCTCTAATCAAATTTTAAATGATAAATATCTAACATCAAAATCCAAAAAAGAGTTTATATAAAAGAACATCTGTAAAACTTAAATATAAGTCAGTTTTCATGGAGAAAATTCTCATATCTCAGTGGTAGGAGGGCTTTTCATATGTAATTGATTCTCACCTGCAGGTACTGAAACATAATAGCTAATTCATTTATAAAAGAAAAATAGAGGATAAATATAATATTATTGAAATTCAATGTGCATGATGTATATGCTTTTTTTAACATATTTATTTTAGCCATTTACTTTTTATTCCCTTGTCTGCAAAATATTTTAGATTCTCCTGATAAGCTCCCAAACTGACAAAGTTTCTTTCCCATTTCCTACTCCTTTGATGTAGGTACTATTGATGAAATAACCAGAGTAGATAGAAAGAAAAAAAAGGGGGAGGGTCTTGAATTATCTAAGTCAATATTTCATTATATATAGTCTGCCATTAACCTCCACAAAAAATTACTTACATCTGCTTAAAAAGTTGTCAATATTTTTGTTTTTTCTTAAGGCAGGAAAATCCAAATCATATACCAAAGCATCCAATCCATCCTAAACAAATAAACAAACAAACAAAGTTAGTTTTTTGGTTCACACTATGAGCACTTTCCTTTTTTATGAGTAAAGAATAAAATATATGCTTAAACATTTAATTTGCCTTACTCTCATACATCTTGCATTCATTTAACACCTTCTACAAGGTTACATGAGTACTGGGAGAAGAGAAAATTTGGTTTTATTTCATACAGAGTTTTCACCTTCTAACTCTCCCAGGCAGAGGAGCAGCAAAATCACCGCAAATTGGCTACAAGTGACCTCAACTTGTGCCCTTTTCCCCCCATATAAGGGAAGAAAATTTTACTTTTTACTTTCCCTTAACTACTGCATTTATTTCACAGACACTCATAAAAAACAAATGGCCTATATTTTTGAATACAAATATTTTATAAGGTAGTATCAAATATTAGTTCCTAAAATATGAAGTTTAGTATAAAATAAATTCTGCACTTACATACATTTTTATGGTATGTTTTTTATAAATATATTGGGTTTTCATAACAGTTCTACTTCTTTCTTTGAAGCACTTTCTAAAGCAACTATTAGTAAAGGACAAATATGGGCTTTTACTTTTACAGGGATATTTAAATATTATCTAAGCAAGTGCAGGGCTATGTGAAGGTGTACCAATCAGTGTTGAAATGGGAATGCATCTATTCAGATTATACCTTGTCATGTGGTAGGAGCAGAGGAAACATTCAGATAATCCCAAGTAATCTTCATTTTATTTAACTGGGGAAATTTAGTTTGCTACAATAGAGCTCAAGAATAAAAACAGAAGCAGCAAAGGAAAACACACCTTCTGGAGACCATGTACAGTCATGTTCATAAGAAGTTGAAGGAGAAAATCAAAGCCAGGGGATATATACTTTGTATTAAGCCAAAGGTGTGAGTAACTCAGCTGTTTTAGAATACTTAAAATATTTCCCTAGGAAACCAAAAAGCCCAGTCAAATCTTAATAGGTTTTAAAATATATCATTGCTTAGGCTGGAAAATGACCATGGAGAAGACGATTAGTAACACCAATGTTGTTGACTGCTTGAAGAGACCAACCGACCCTTATCACTGGCTTTTCAGAATTCAGAGGTTTGTACAGATCTGAAGAAAAAGTTCCTCCACTAGAGAAAGTTCATCTTTCCTTGAGATACATTTCTTAGAGTCTTATAAACCATTTGAATATTTCTGTTAATTATTTTTACAATAAAGAGACAAGAACCTTTACTTGGTCTATTCTAAACTGAAAACCAATCAATAAATATATGAACTCACTATTTTCTAGGAAAAGGTAAATTAAATATATATATACACACCCATTTGACTACGTTTTAAGTTCTTTGAGGCAGAAACCACAGTTAAATCTCATTTTCTCCCACAGCACCTAGCAAAATGTCCTGAACAAGTGTGCATAAAATGTACATTAAACCAATGATTTTTATGCTCCACAGCAATGGCATTATATTACTCAAGAAATAATACTGTTCTTAGATTAGATACTAAGTTTCACTGCATCATGTCACTCCAAAAAATTATACAGATTACAGAGTAGTACAAATAATATTAGCTACACAATTTTAGGCTGAATTTTGATAAAGTCGTCTGGGAAATGCAAGTAGGCATAATGCAATAAAATCAACATATTATTATATCTTATATTAACTATTATTTTAAGAGCTCTTAGTACACATCTACTTCCAAAGACACTTCCCAGTTTTAAAAGGTTCAGAACACCTAAATTTTTAACAGCTTATATTGTTTTCTAGTATCAAATAAAACATTAAAAAGTGAGGGAAATGTGTATTAAATTTTACTTACAACACGCTCTCTTCAGTAAATATACTGAAAACAACTGCCTCCAATTTTATTCCAAATAAGTTTTTTTTAATTACTAAATGTTAGACAGAAAAGAACCTCAAAAAATAACGTGTTTAACCACCTCATTTCATAGCTAAGGCAAATAACAATCAGAAATATTAACTGACTTGTCCAATGCCACACAGCTAGTTAGTAAGCTGTGTTATAATCAAAATATGAACTCTTAGTCTAGTAGTTATAGAAATAACATGACCATGATAAAAGTATGATTTAAAAATCCTGAATCTCTTTAAAATGAAGTTAGGAATTGAGAATAAACATGTATATTTAAATCCAAGATGTACTGTTCAAAAATTAATAGAAAATCACAAGTCATTCTTCTAATTAAAACTAGAAAGTACACTGGTTAGGACTCAAACCTAGTGTTCCGGCTCAAAATACTACATTTTCCCTAATACACCACTATTACCTCTTCTGCATGACCTTCCCTAAACTACCTATTAAATCTAACAGTTCTCCTGTATTAGAGTTATTTTTTACTTTAATCTTCACAGCTAATTTCAGATGCTGTGAGTAAGCTAAGCCCCAGAACTGAGCAACACGTTTTACTCACAGCATGGCAGGCACTGTTGGCTCTCCTACCCCAACAATTATTTCCCCCTTCTACCTTCCTCATTCAACTTTGATTTTGTTCGGGCTATCCACCCTCCTCCATGAGACTACGAGCATCCAAGAAGGGAGAGACCTTCCCCAACTCCAGGAGGTCACTTCTGATTAGTCTAATCTAAGCTGAACATGGAGGCCTATTACTCTTGCCAGTGTTCAGCTTAAGTACAGGAATATGGTAATAATCTGACACATGTAACATGAGGGAAAAACCTACAGAAAGGTTTCTGGGGAAAGTTTCTTCTCTCTTGAAAGAGATACACGTCAGACATAGTCTCTCCTTTCATGAGAAACTGTTATATCTGTATGTGACACCTTAAACAACAGCAGGCACCTTGGGGCCTCAAGGGAGGTTGGCAGGAGAAAAAGCCAAACACAATGAGGACGACAGGGACAAAAGATGGAAGGAACCTGGGTCTCTGATGATGTTTGTTGAACCACTGAATTAATCTACTCTGGAACCTATTCTTCCCATGCTTTCTCGAGATAATACTTTTTCCTTATGGCTTAACTCAGTTTACATTGGATCTTCTATTTCTTGTGACTAAAAGCATCCTGAAATACACAGTACAAATTCATTAAATGCCACTGAATCGATGTAGGAGCTATAGGACTTATTGCACTGAGAGGATCATCCATTCAAATAGTGAGATCAGGGACAAGACGGGGCTGACAAAAAGTGTCACTCTTTGGTAAATGTTGTTTGTATAACGGCATGGCACTATGGGAGAAGAATGATTTTTGATTCATATTAATAATTAAGTGAATTCCAGATGGGTCAAAAGAATTCAACCATGAAAAAATAAAGCATTTTAAAGAAAAAAAATAAACATAATATATTTACATATTACTGTTGGAAGGACAAGTCACATAACCTTCCTGAGCCTCTGTTTTCTCTTTTGTAAAATGGAAATAACTAACTACAACTCAGAAAGGATTTGTGAGAGTTAAATGAGTGAAGTTTATGAAGTGTTTGACCATTAAACAGTCCCACTTCCAACTCTTTCCTTTATTTCTCTAGCTGACATTTGAAAGTTCTACAAGTTAGTCTCACTACTGATAGAAATGACATAAAGAGAAAACAGATATTTTAATCATGTGGTCATAAAAACCTTAAGAGTAAATCTCAGGTCATGATGTTAAACTGTTCCCAATGTAGTAATCCCATACATAACTAAAATTTTTTTGTTTTTTACATAAGGCATCTGACTTTTGCTTGACCAAGAATTCAATCATGCATTTGTTAATTGGAAAACTAGCTGCCTCCGCTAACTGTTTACGGTCACTAGGTGTCTGGACCTATCACCATACACTTTAATTTTACAGACGTAGGAGACGGTATATGGCTTTTCAGTATCACTCATAAGCAAAAATTATATGCCTTTTATCAGAGAAATAAAATGGGGAAGAAGGTATTCTTCTAGCATAATCTAAGGCATATACCAACAGAGGCTAAGGGGAGTCAAAACACTGGGGTTGGGGAGAGGGATGCAGGCTTCCACTTTTAATGAAGTAGAGAAGCTACACAAGGTAAGAAATGTCCATATCCAACCAAAGTGGGCCAAGGAATCCTGACTTCTATTCAACACTCTGAAGTTCTCTAAAATAATGGAGAATAAGACTTCCCACTTCCTAAAGTCCATATTCTAGTATGAGAATTCAGGACCTTAATAGAAATTAATATTAATTAAATTTATTTAATTAAATTTAATTAATTAGATTAATATAAATTAAATTAATTCTTCCAAGTACAAAAACAATTCACAAGGAATGGCAGTCAAAGCACGTAGTCCCACTGCTCCTTCACTCAATTTTAAGATTTATGCAGGAAGGAAAGCTACCCTCTACTTTCACATGTCCATCATATAGCTTAATCATCAGTATAAGAATTAGAGAGGAGAAAACGTAGGAGAGGAGTCAATCAATGTTAAAGAATTACAATAATTAAATTCTTTGCTACTTATATTTGAAAAATGATAGTAGGCCAATTATAGCAGTGTATTTTGAAAGAAGCTAGTCACACTAGTAGAAGTATTTTCACATAAACACACGAAGGCAGGCATAATTAATGACAAGTATAACATTTTACAAGAATCTCTAAAGAATGGACATTTCACATTTCTTAAGAAGTGCTGGTATTAGGAGGGGGAAAGCACCAGTTGTGTTATCTCACAACAGAGTTTAAGCAAAGGAGAAACAGAAGAAAATTATTCAACTGAACACTGCTGCAAACTTTATAGTCTCTGGATAGTTTTAAATTACAAAAGTAAGATTCCTGTGTAAAATATCATTTAGGATTAGATCCATTAGTAATAATACATTTGTTATAAGGTATGAGATATAATGACACTAGGAAAGGAAAATATATTATGTATAAAAAGCATCAATTTGTTTTTTGAATTTGTAAAATTTCAAAATCAAAATTGTTACTTATTTCTAAATAAGAAATATTTTTTGAGAAACTGAAAAAAAAAAAAATCCATTAAAACTATGGCAGTAAAGCCAGGGCTTCTGG